ATGTAAAATTTTGTGTAATTAAATTTTAATTCAAATGTATCAAGTTGGTGTATCATGCTTAATGAGATGACCAATATGAATAAATAAATTTACAAATATAATATTGATATAAATTTCTAATCTTAAATAAATGCTATTTATAATTCTTAAACATCTTTATGCTATTAGTATGAATTAGTTGGATTAAGAAGTATCTGTCGTGATGATAAGTATTCTTATTAAATTGCTAATTTTATATGCAATTAGTAATGACCTTTATATTTACATATACTGTATCTCGGGTATTATTTTGCCATGACAAAGTCTTAATTCTATTTTTTTCTCATTATTACTACTTATTTACAAATGCGCTTCTACTTTCTTCTTTCTATAGAGTACTGTCATAAATTTGGTTCAGGTGATCAAATGATCACGAGATGATCGCTAAAATACTATATAATAATAAGTAATTTGTAATGCGATTTGATTTTTTTTTTTTACAAAAAAGTTACAATTTTTTTTGACTATCTTGAGAACAAAATGTTAAATGGCTCTATTTAAAATTATTTTTGATAATAGTTTAAGTTTAGTAATAGAAAGTATAAATATTTTTTTATATATAATATGATTATATTCTACGTATTATAATTATTTATGCTATAATAACATATTCAAGTAATAGTAGCAAATGGGAACACGTCTTTAGGGTCTTGAGAAGCTATAAGGTTAGCTTTAGCCTCTAGCATGGCTGGCTTTTTAATGAGACATCGATTAATCTATCCAGAATATTGTACGTATTACTTTGGAATAGCATCACGATCCTTAAAATTTTATATTAAGTTAATCCTATATAATAACGAAAAATAAAAAAAAACTTATTTATTTATTTAATTATCAGTAAACTAAAAAAAAACAAAAATAAATCAAAAATCCTAAAAAAAAGTTAGTGTTATAAATTAATTTTCAATTTAATCTATACATGATTCTTTATCATCAAATTTATTGTAAGTAATATATTCAATGCTAAATTCGTCATTAATTTTGTTATCAAATTCATTATCGCTAATTCTTTCATATTCATCATTGCTAATTCTTGCATCAAATTCATCATTGCTAATTTCTTCATTACTAATTTCTTCATCCGATTCATCATAATCATCATAACTATCTTCACAATCAAATTCATTCGCTGTTGGACCCTCATCATCTAATTCTTCTATAGTTACATCATCCAAACGATTCTCAACAATTGCCTGAAGCTGATTTGACATTTTGGTATCTTCACTTCCATCAGGATTTAATGTAAGACCAGATGCTTCAAAAGATTTTATTAAAAGTTCTTGACTAATTTCCTTCCACACTTCGGATACTGTTAGTGGCGAAACTAGAAATATGCAGGTCTAGATAATCACCACTTGACAACACAAACTAACAAAATCCACACAACAAACCAACTGGTTGAGGCGGTTGAGATTTGGTGAGGAAAAGGCTTTAGGTTGATTTATTATGGGTTTATACGAAAAATGAGGGGCTTTTAGGCACAAAAGGAATGATGGATATTATTAGATCAGAATTGAACTTTTTTTATTTACTTTTTAGTTGAACTGAACTGCTCTTTTACCAGGGCGATTTACAGGTCTATTTATAATGAAATTGATACATTTTGATGAAAAAAAAGAAGAATGGAACTATAACTTCTTATCATGTCGTATCGTCTACTTTTGAGATAATCTTTGGACGATTAGGCCATCGCTTACGCGATTGTAAACATTTATCCCACACGGCTACATGATTTCCCGATTTATCTCAATTTGGATTGCTCTGCCCATCAGTGTCACTACCTCCTCTAGCCTTTTTGGGAGATGCTTAGTTAGCATTTTAAACCAGGTGGCCATCCCATGGTTTTCTCCCTAATCCTCATCTGGGAATTCACTAATCCATGGTCCCGGGACCTTCTGAGCACTAATAGTTTCATAGATGCGATCATAGCATCTTTCTGATTCTTTTGCGACTTGCATTGATCCTTTTACGCTCCTGAGGCTGCTTTGGGCTTAGTTGACTTAGGGGATTGTAGGGGAACGTATTTCTCCTAATTTCCATCGATTTTGAGAAGGAACTGTGATCGGAACCCAGTCACATTTTTTTTGGGGGTCCCGTGATATGGTTTTAGCGCCGCAGATACTACCAGTTTACCATCAACAATACCCACTTGCAAACTAATTCATAAGATGCTTTTTTGCGATTTCCACTTTTTGTAAATTCTCTTTCTCCTTCACTCATCCATTCATCTCATTTTCTTCTCATTCCATTTTTGAATAGTTTATTTACAGAGATGTCAGGTGGTTGTAGCACACTAGTTGTTCCACCAGGAATTTTAATTACTTCCAAGCCTTCGGCATTTAATGCCTTGATTACTTCATCATGTGTGTAACTTGTATGACAATCAACAAATAGAATATCTTTATTTTTAAAAAAACTCTCAGGCCTTGCTCTAATAACTTTTGAAATATATGTTGAAAGCATTAAATTTTTGTGCATAGTTCCATTAGGTGCAGCAGCTACAACAACATTCCTTGGAAATTGTCTTTTAGGTACTTTTTGTAATTTAAATATTACCATAGGTGGGAGCTTGTACCCAGAAGCAGCAAAGCCTAAAACAACAGTAAATCGTAATTTGCATTTCCTGTGGTTTTAATTTTAACCTCATGTACACCATGAAAATCAATTGTTGAATTTTGTGGCATATCAAACCATACTGGGTTTTATCAAAGGAAAGTATATATTTTTTTTCATAATTTTTTGTAGCCTCACATGATGTTTTAAGAAAATCTCTAACAATTTCTGGTGTATCCTCAAGAAACTTTTGAGCAATTTGAGTTTTGGATCATTGAACTAAGTTATTTCGTTTCTTAAATCTAATAATCCAACCACGTGAAGCTTTTATATTACCAAGTTCTAATGTTTTGGCTAATTCTCTTGCCTTAGTTACAATTATAGATATTGTAATAGAAAGTCCCTCATCTCGTTTTTCTTTAATATATTTCACTAGTTCTTGTTCTAAAACTAGATATTTAGGTTTATGGCCATGACTACTAAGTACTCTGGCTTTTTTAAGACTTAAATCTTGAGTAGGTTTAAGAGCTTCAATTTGTAATTTTTGTGCTCTCCATTTCTAAACACGATGTCTGTCAATTTTATAAAAAATTGAAGCATGACGATTTGAAGTACTTTTTGCATAAGAAATTACTTCAAGTTTAAATAAGAGCAGGTAACTTTTTTTTTAATTTCATTATTCATATTCTAATACTTTGATACATTAAACTGATTAAGGTAATTAACACTTATTATTAACTGTTTGTTATAATAAAAATAATAATGTTTATCTACGTAGAGTATATGAAAAAATGAATTTATTCGTTAAATTTTTGGAATTAAAAAAGTAAGCAAAAGAATTTTTAAAATAACTTAAAGGCTTTTATAATTAAAATTTATACATAGTTTTATAATATTTCAAAAAACTTATTCTGCTTTATTTATGAATATTAAGATTAAAGAATTTTATACAATGCATATCATCTAAAGACATCCAAAATCATAACTCCTCAATAAATATTTAAAATTTTTTTTAAAAAAATATGTAATACTGTAGTCCTAGATGAGTTCTACAAAGTTACATATTTTTTTTTGTGACTTTGGACTTATTCATTGAGAAGATGTGATTTAAAAAAACATAGCACAATTTTAATGTGCTTTATATGGTGAAAAGCGATCATGTCATCACCATGTAAGGATAGATTACACAAACTGCTATTTATAAATTATCGACAGTATTACAAAAAAAAAAAATTCGATTTTTAGAACAAATGAAATTTAGTTTCTAGAATTTCACCTTTTTTTTTGTCAGTTTGAGCATTCATTAATTACGTATATGTAGCAATGTGGTACCTATACATAGACTTAGATGCTGAATTAGTGAACGAATTAATACCATTTGCAATTAGAAGGTGAAAGTATCTTTGGATTTACTCAAAACACTATAATGAATGAATATATGTTACGTAGTACTTAATAGGTTTGATTCCAAACGATCAGAGTTGAATGGAGTATGTGAAAATTGCAACCGATATAACTCATCCAAAGCTTGGTGTCAAACATGTAACCCTCAAAAGCAGCGCAAGGATGGATAAGTGGAAATAAGTACATCGATGATTGCATTAAAGAATTTCATCTTAAAGCTACGTATTTGGAAGCTAAATTAGTTGATTAATGCGAAATAAAATGATTTATATGCAATAGTAAATACGTTTTGATTGTGAATTTGTTTTTTTGTTTTTTTTTTTCTAAAAATTAATATTTATTTTCATCCTTGGCCACAGAGTTAGAATTAATGAGAATGAAATAATTTATTCATAATGGTAAAGAAGTATTATGTTCTTGAATTGCAGTCTTTATTTCTAAGTATTACTAAATGTTCTTCATACTTAGACGCTGAAATAGATAATTAATGTGAATGAAATGATTTAATGATTTATAACA